GAACACAATGACAAAGCCTCATTTCTATGAAATGTGCCATGGGATTTTTTTTTAATTTTTAATAAAAATGGGTGGGCAAATTTGAGACTACAAATCTCGTTAGTGATCCTCAGCATTTGTGGAAAGAAAGGGGGACACTTATACTCGGGGGAGCAGCACAATGGTAGGTGACAGAGGAGAGCCAGATTACATCTGATGTTGTTCACCTCCTGCATCACTGATGCTGTAACAGCTGAAAGATCGTGACTACCAATGTATTACTGAACAGGCCCTTGCTTGACTGCCAGCTGTAAAGAGTCATTCTATGGGCAAACAAAACAATGCAAGGAGAGAGGGACGAAGGCCTATAACTTATGACCAGATCTGCTAAAAGGCTTATTTATAATTAATACCCACCCACTGCATTGCACTTCAAGCAAACACCAAAGAGCATGAGGTACCCTGATGCAACAGACATGCCAGTCACTAGCTACCTTTATAACCTGGTCGTCCAATTTTCACAAACTTTTTCACTTCCACTTTGACTTTTTCTGGTGCAGGTTGGGCAGGGGCTTCTTTAGCTTCCTTGGCAGCTCGGCGAGCCCTGAAATCGGGAGAGGAGAAGGTCATCATCTAACTACACCTAGGAACGTCACCCTTCCAATTCAGAGGAATCCAGCCTTGAAACCTTGCCCTCCGTCTCTTTCCAACCCTTTCCCTGATACAGAGAACTACAGCCCCTAGGGCTGTGAATTCGAACCCACCACTGCAATGGTGCTAAACCAGGAGCTCCCATGTGTGTCACATTCCACTTAGCACATGAAGCTGCTCCAGCTTTCAGGCTCCTGCCAACTGAATCAAGGGCACTTCTGTTATTTAATTCTGTGGGTGAATGTAGTGCCTGGGAAATTAAGGGCTCAACAGCACTGGCTTGAGAAGGACATACTGAGGGGAGCCCCGACCCCTCTGCACCAAGCTCTTTATTAGCATTAAAATTCTATTTACATATTTATTTTTAAAGAGATAGTATGGTCCAGACCCAGTACTCCACTCCGTCAATCAAGGTTAACTGTGACCCACGGTTTCCCCTTAGCAAAGGCTGTCAACTGAGCCACACTGAATAACCTTAAGCTGAATGTGGTGTCTTGCCACATGGATTAAAGGCTCCAGACATGAAACGGTATTTAATCGAAGGATTTAGACACTGCAGTAATGGAGACTGTATCGCGCCACACAATCTTTTGTTGTATTTCTCCTCCCAACACTCCTGTGAGGCAGGGAACCATGTTTTACATTTTAGAGTTGGAGAACTGAGGCACAGACACTTGCTCAAGGTTACCCCTGAAGTCCGTGGCAGGGCAGGGGATTAAACCTGGTCTACCACATCCCGGGCGAATGCTTTAACCAGTGGGCCACCCTTCTTCCTAGGCTAGCACCCTGAGCCACTGCATCGCTCGGCACCTTGGAAGTAAGCTTCTAAAATGTCATCCAACAGCGTAGCAAACTTTCACACTCTACGTTCAAATCCCCCACGCTCATGAGCTTTTGCTCACTTTCAGAATGCTCTAAAGAAAGTTATTTTTGTACTGCAGAAGACCCATAACTTGCTTTGTTAGGTCATAGAATTAGCCAGCATATAGATCACAACTGTTCCATGCCTGCTGTTCCCTACAACATATTTGTCTTTTAGTGTTGTCAGGTACAATGTGTTTTGGTGTAACAGCTTCCCAGATATTCCTCACCATCAGCAGCAACCCCTTGCATTCAGCCACTTTAATCACTCAATACTTAAGAATAAGACATGAGACGGAGAACAAGAACTACTTAATGGGCTGCACCCAGGGAAAGAGGGAAGCTTAAAAACCAAACCAGACTGTTTCACCTCCTGCACACAGCAAAACTAAGTTTGCTCTCTGATTTCTACTGCAAAACAAGTAACTCGGGGATGAAGTATTTGTTAAAACTTATACCCAGTACATATTAAAAGAGTAAGTGTGTATTTTAAAATGTCCAGAGACTGGAAAATGCTGTAGTTAAGAACTTACAAATTGGTCTGATGCTTTTTCCCCTGGGTATGTGCTAAATAGCTTCCCTGCAACAAAACAAGACATAAGAAAATGAAATATGACAGTAACCTGGGAGGTATCCAGCTGTCACAGATGAGATACTATTGGGAGTTAAGCTGCCTTGTGAAGGAAACTAAGGAACGCTGACATTTTAACCTTTACAGCATAAAAGGAAAATTTATTCCTCCTCATAATTGCACCGAGGAACTGGAAAATGTATATTTTTGTTTTCAGGGCCTCATCCATCCCTTCCACAACCCAACTCTCAACCACCAATCCCTTCCTCTCCTGCATGTCCCCAAGAAACCCAACCCTCCACTTCTCACAACTCACATTGGGAGGTCTCGCCCCTTTTCCCTCCCACACATCCAATGGTCAGTTCGGGAACTGGCAGTCAGGTACAGACCACACAGGGAGTTGTGGAGGTATTTTGACAGCGGGGCTGTGGGGTGGTACTTGCTTCAGACAAGAGTCTGGATCTACCACTCTCCCTCCGTGAAAACCAACCCCAATTCATATAATTATGCTCCTTCTTACAAAGAAACCGTCAAGTTAATCAATTTAAAAAAACAAACAAACAAACAAAAAAAACACGTCTTTAAGGTACTTCTAAACTTTATTATTAAAAGTGAAATAATATGAAATGGCAAATTTACTTATTTTGTTCTGTTTCTCAGCAATCACTTTCTAGCTTGCCTGCACTAGCTTTGTGCTGTGGTGCATTGCAAACGCAGTCTAGGTTTTTCAGCCTAATAAAACCTTTCCATTGTTTTTTTGAATTTTTAATTCATGGATACATTTCTACTGGTCTTAGGTATTATAAGAACCTGTTGTCACAAAGTGAGATACAGGGACAAGTTTTATCCAGTGTCCTCCAAAACTAAACAAAAAATAGCCAGTTTGTAGGAGTCATCCCCTTGGAAATCAGACCATCTCTAAGGGGTTACATCTGAAGACAGCACAACAGTGTCTCTATTATACTCAACAGCAGAGTACACAGAAGACCTAAAGACATTCACTCGAGCTTGATGAATAATTGAATTTGACCCACTGGAAATTTATTCAAATACCAATCCAAACTGTTCTTGTGTTGGGTGAATTCAAAGGAAAGCCCTTTTAAACAGAACTGCTCTGAAGGCGAGCCCACATTAACAAGTAATGCTGAGAGACAGCACAACATGAAAAGATATTGCATTCAGAAATTCCTGAGAGGTAGCTAACATTTTATTGCTTTGAAGATGGATGCCAGTTTCTGTGCTATTCTTGGATCTGCTCCCTAATAATGTTCATATTTAGGGCCCCCTTAACGTCAACACCATATTTTGTATAGCAGAAGAATTTGCACTGAATAATGTGTAGAACATGCACAAAACCAGAGCACCCAATCTACAGCGTAAGTTTAAATGTGCTTTACTCTCACCGCCCCCATAAGCTCTGAATCAAACTTGCCAGAACCCGATGCAACTCTAGAACGGTGGTTTTTCACGAAGATCAACAGGCAGATGCTCAACTCACCTCATTGTTGTGCAGCGTTAGGCAGAGTTTGCATTCATAAGAACCCAAGTGATTTTTCATAAAATAAGGATCCTAAGGAGAGGATAAGAACAAGAACTGAATGAGAGAAGTCACATGCAAATATGAGCAACCTGCACTACACTGAATTTTCAGACAAAGGTCATTAGTATACCTAAGGCAAGATCATTTCTGGACTGGAGAGAGGACTCTTAGGCTCACTGATTTCAATTATGAGACTAACATTCCTTTCAGAAGGATTAAAAACAATTATTTGTTAATCATCAACTGCATGTTCCGTGCTGTACAAATGACAATAGGAAAGTATGGTCCTGTCTGGAGAAGTCTGCAATCAAAGTAGGTGTACTGTTTATGTGATCAAATGACAGTGTTTCAATTCAATCTTTAAAACCCTTCACAACAGGTCCGAAGATCAGAATTCTCTCTCTCTAATCCCTGGTCCAGGATCAGCACTTAGAAAAAGATTGTTGGCCCTGGCAGAGTTTTACTGCTCTGAACAAATCACATCTAGCATCTTCAAGTTGCATTATACTGGACTTTAAAGTCAGTTACATCATTCTGATTACAGTCTTGCATTATCTCATATCACTTTCAAGACTGACTTGATTTTAGTGCCCATTACATGGAGAAAAGCTAGAATTAAGAAACAATGTTTTATATTTTTCAGAAAATGGGAACCCCAGTTTTTGGATCTAACTCTAAGCTTGTGAGGTAACACCCACTGAACAACCATATCAGATCTGAACTAGGAGAGGGCTGGGGTATGGGTGAGAAAGAAAAGAGGATTATTAGAAAAATCATATTTAGCCCTAGTAGTCGGCAAGATAATACACATGAAATTACAACTGATCCTTCAGTCTAGTAGTGGGTTCTTTTTTGGTACTGACCTTGGCCTGAATATAGCAAGTCCTGGAATTTGGCGCAGTGTAATACTCATTCCCTATGCCCATTAACATATTACTTCTTTAAAAGTTGAAATCTATTTTTATTTAAAAATATTTTCCTGATCGCCTGTTCAGTTTATGGCAATCCTGTTAACACATCTCTTTGGTAAGATTCAATAGGTCTACTTCTCTTTATGTACATGATGAGATCAAAGTTCACCTTGTTGATGTCAATCGTTTCCAAAGCCAGCTGCCGAAGCCTCTCTCTGCGGTCTCGGTTACTTTCTGAAGATGAGGCTACGCCTCCACTCCCAGTTTTACCTCCAGGGCGATGTTGAAAATCCATGATTGGGGCTTTTGCACTTCAAGTGACTTAGGTGAGAAAAGGAATCTGGGAAAAATAAAGAGTACAATTCACAGTGAATCATTGTTATTTAAAGACTACACTATGTTCCTTCGTTGGCAGCTGGATTGCAGAGAGCGCCCAGCGGAAGCGGTCAAGTGTTGAAGTGACTCTGGTTGAATTTCATCTCTTGCCATGTTCAAACTCCAGATTCCAGAGCAGCCTTTGAATAAGGTAGTAACCAATTCTCCTGCTACCAAATTCCCCAAGATCTGCTAGCAGGCTCTCTCTCATCCGACCTGCCCACCAAGTTTTCCAACCGAATTTCTCCAGCATAAACCCCGTCAACAGACCAACTCCCATAAAAAGCCTGCTGGCTACTATGCACCATAGGAAGCGATGCAGGATCAGAATCAGCACCCTCAAACAGCACTAGCACACCTAATACAATGGCTCGATGGGAGCCTCGGGCAGTTTCACAGGTGATTTCATTTTCCTGGCTACTTTTACATATTTTTCTCCATTACAAGATTCTGCATTTTTGCCTGATATATTTAATAGACTCAAGAATGAGGCAAAAATGTTTGAAAGCTACTAGTTAATTAGTGGGCATGTTTACTGGCCCAGATCTGTGTTGTAAAAGTTGGACATGTAACACAATTTGAAATTCAGCATGGCTACAAATCATTGATTATTTGTGGTAAGTACTATATCTTGCATTGCCACGTCAAGTATTTTATACATAAAAGAACCAAATGATACAAGAACTAAACAATAAGCAGAAAAATACTGGACATCAACTATAAGCAAATTGGGGCAGACACCATGTCATCAGAGGTGTTTGTACATTGCTACTTGAAGCGCCAAAGCATTGGTCCTGAGTGGTGGCCTCAGGGCACAACTGCACGATAACATAATAATTCTCATTAACAGCAGCTTGCTGTGAATAAGTGTACAGTTAGCATTGCACCAATGAACATGCTTATTTCTGAGTTGCGTAAGTAGTCACAGTGTACATCAGTGGTTCTCAAACTTTTGTACTAGTGACCCCTTTCACATAGCAAGCCCTTGAGTGCGACCCCCCCCC